TGAAATAAACTTTAATGAAAATCAAAAAATGAAATTTAATGTCTGCCCTTGCAGTTCTTTCTCTCTGTGGTACGTGTACCACGGTCCTCGATGCATGTATGTGGTCGCATGTTTATAAAAGGACAATTTGGTGCGGAACTATCTGGCCCAAAATCCCTTAGTTTCTTAAAAGAACAGCTAGGAGTTATTTTAAAGCGTAATTACATGTAGGACTTTGTTACTTCTGTTTAGGAGTTTTAAAAGCATAATGAAACTTTGATTATGCTACATAGGAAAAATAAAAGTCCTCAACTTTGTTACTCCCAGTTACAACTAATTAGGAATTATTATAATAGTTATTTTTATAATTAGGAGAAATGAACCTAATTACAACTTCAAAATCTTAATAAGGAGTTTTAAAAGCCTATCTAGGAGTAATAAAATATTAGTTGGGATATGAAATATATGAAGTTCCGCATGCTTTCTGGATAACTTCCTCACAGGAAAGAATCCTAAATTGTATCATGAATATACATTCTGCGACATTTAATGATAGTGTTGCGACGAAAGAAAATCGTGCATTTGCCGTTACAGTTGCGACATTAAAGACAGAAGATTTTGTGACATTAAATGACGGTTGTGACATTAAGCGGCAATGTCAAAGTAATTCTGATCATTATCACCATCAACATTTCTCTTTCACATAGCATCACTAAGAAAAAGACGTACACAGGCGCGTACGTTGGCTTATTTTGAGTAAACTCCATATTCAGTTCGTGGATCAAAGGGTCGTTATTATCAGGAATTTAAAGGCTTATTATGCTTCAAAAACAAATTAAATTTTACTTCATCAGAAAGTGCGAACTTGTATTTTCTAATGATTGTGTAATGGTTTTACAGAATGTTAGATGCTTGTTATCTGAAAAAGTGGCAGTATATGTAAAATAATAAAAATAGCAAAATATAAACAAAGAAACACTTTTTTCATACTCCATATATATATATGTTTTTATTATACCCATGTTATTTTTTTTTCAGAAATTTTTACATTACCAGTTCGACACCGAAATATTTAACAACTGAAAGGAGAAGAATTCTTTCGTTCTTATCCTCTTCTTTGAATATTGTCAAATTTTGTTATTTCAAATATTATTATGTAAATTTTCTGAGAATAAATATGTTTAAACTAAACAAAGTAGTATTTTGACCGCCATACAAAATAGTTATTCAATATGACTGTACTTATTGCCAAAAAGCAGCAAATCAAAAAGATGGTAGAGGTAATTGGCCAATTGGGTAACAATTTAAAAGCTATAATCAGAGTACATTAAAATTAAATAGCTTTCAAAAAATGAAAATAAAAGCATTCATGAGGTAAAATGGGCCTTTTAAATAAAATAACGTATATTTAACTAATGTTATGAAAATAATATAAATTATTAAATTAAAGGTCCATTATGCGTGTAAAATGCTTAAATTTTTATTTCTTAAAAGCTTTTAAATTTTGATGTTACCGTACTTTTAAAGTATCCAAAATGTTACACAATGGCCATTTACCGGAACAGAACCGAACAGAAATTTTATTCATAGAAGCTCATCACTATATCACGTATACAAATACAACATATAATACATAAAGACACATGCAATGAACATATATAATTGCAAAATAATGGTTTATGAAATGTTAGAATGTTTAATGAGATAAAAAAATTACTTAAACAGCATATGAATACATGTTTATAATGCACAAAAATTTGTCTTCCTTTACCTAACATTATCAAATTAATCTACAATATATTTTGTTTTGTGTAATGCCTATCAATATAATCCACAAAAAAAACTGCCGTTTTAATATGAAATAGTGATAATGACAAAAGTAGGGGAATAACTTAACTTATTATATAATTTTAAATAACAAATATTTTAGCATTTATTTCAATTTTATAATTCACGATCAATAACAAATAATTGAATTCATTTCTGTATGACATATGAAATACGTGTACTGCTTTTATGTGCTTTCATATAAAGAAAAAAACACTAAACAGAAAAATACACGAAACAACCAAAACTAAATTAAAACAAAACTACACTTTATTTAAAAGATTATTTTTGTCAAAACATTTAATCTTGGAACTTATATTTTGTTAAGTGTTGAAAAACAGACAGACACGCAGCTAAGTATTTCATTTTAGAAGATACAAATATAAATAAAAACAGAAAAATATATATGTACAATATCATATTCAAATAAAACTTAACACTTCTATAAGATAAATGTACAATTTGCATTTAACAGTGACAATGATCGTTATGAAAAAATAGCAGAAACAAAGAACAGAAAAAGAGGGCAATAATAATGCGTCAACATATTTTAACAAACTATCCTTCAATGTCAAAGCTTTATCACAGAAATCAGCTAAATGTTTCAATTCTTCTTTGTAGCTTTCATGAATGATTCGCAACTCGGTAATACCACACCTATGTAGTTAAAAGAATTAACTACCTCAATTACTTAATTATTATAAAACCATGTATCCTTATTTCCAAGTATTCCACCTTTTTCTGAATACAACTAGTTTCGTCTTTTCAATATTTACCTCAAATTCCAACGATTACAATAGGACAATAAACAATCAAATGACTTCTGCAAATGACGTCAGGTATCTCTATTCAGGTTTTAAAATACCTTGCATATCTAACAAGGTAATTTTTTGTTCGTTGTTTTTAAAATATCTACCCATGAGATATGATCAAGGAAAATATCGCATTAAAGATTATGTGTAATACGATCAAACAAACAAAACAGATGGTTTGTTTTAGAGTAACAATAAACTATAGTCCGCAAACTACGCCTTTAACCGTTTATCCTCATTGCAGTTTTTCAAAAACAGTTAAGAGGTGCGCATTATGTGAACAATAGAACATATTTTTCCTTATAGTTTTTCCTCAACTTAACTCTTTCAAATTATATCCGTTATATCTAAAATGTATTATTGAATTATATTGTTAAATGCCAACTATGCCTTAAAATTCCTTAAATGTTGTTTATCAAATCTAATCATACCCCTATAAACGAAGTTTTAAGAGTTATAGGAGACAGCTTGCCGGTAGGTCGGTCGGTCTCCTTCATGGTTTCCGGACGATATCTAGAGTTAGGAAAGAGGTATTGTATTCAAACTTGGTACATAGAACATTATTTGGAAACCTCGATTAGTATTGCTTTTGGACTCCCTGGTGTCAAAGTACAAGAAATAAATAAATGGTTTCCAGACAATTATTAGAGTTTGGAATGAGATTTTGATATAAAGCTTGATATAATACTTGCTTATGGGAAACTTGCGTTTAGATCCCAGTGGTATAGATGGTTTTGGTAAGGAATAAATTATCATAAACAAAAGTGGTATATAGCAAGCTTATGTAAATTGACCCCCTGGGGTCAAGGACAAGGTCATTGTCACTATAGATAGAAAAACGGTTTAAAGACGATATCTAGAGTAAGAAATGAGATATTGCAATCAAACTTATACGTATATAACAAGCTTATGTGAGGAACCTAGTTGGTTTTGCTTTCCGACCTCCTAGGATCAAACTTCGTATATAGCCAGCTATAACATTATGAAGATCCTATGTCCCTTCTAGGGTCAAGGTAAATGTCAATGTTACTAAAAATAGAAAAATGGTTTCAGGACAATAACTAGACTTAGGAATTATAGATATTGTAATCAAACTTGGTATATTGCAAGATTATATATGAAGACCCTAGTTGGGATTGCATTTGAACTTCCTGGAGTCAAGGTCAAGCTAACTAAAAAGACAAATGTTTCAAGATGATAACAATAGTTGAGAAAGAGTTATCGTAATAAAATTGTAGCTAGCAACCTTAAATGGAAACTCCGGTCGGGATTACATTTTGACCCCCTGAGGTCAAGGGTCACTGTTACTAAAAAGTAAGAAAATATTTTTCGGACAATAACTAGGGTTAGGATATTATAATCAAATTTAGTATAAATCAAGCTTAATTAACGACCCTGGTTCTGACTGCAATTAATTGATATAATTCTTTGTTCACAGTTGAAACTTCACAAATTATAGGTTGAGTTACACTTTGCTTCAGACTGCTTATTTTTCGAAAGGTCAAGGTTGACCTGATGGGGGTATTAATAACCTTAAGTGATAGATCTAATTATATTTGGTGTATCCTAATAGTTTCCAAAATGTAACTCACTGGCCGCTTACCTGAACAATCTGTTTCTTCAATTGCTTTTGGCAATTAGCACAGTTATAGTGATTAAGTATTTTGTAATATGAAGCGAGAATGTTGAGTACGAATCTAATACTATTTTGTTCGTTCGTTCGTTGTGGCGTCTTCGATACAATAAAAATGAGAATTTGCATAGGTAATTTCAATCGCATCTTATCGGTCCTTTCCATCGCACTTCGGATAAGGAGCTCGCAGACAATAGTAAGAATACAGTATTTCGGATAAATCAAAACTAAACAAAACTAAAATGTTAACAATAATTAATGTAATGTTGGTAGGTGTTAACTAAGTTTATTCTTATTTTTCGAGTAAAGCTACCTAAATTAAGTCAATTCATAGATATAACAGTAAACAGTATATTGTTTATACTTATTATTATTGCTGTGGAAACTGAAAGTACAAAATGTCTGAAAGATTGAACGCACAAAGCATAAACTTGATTCAAATGGACTAGTGGTAGCTATGAAGCAGTGATATTATTTTTATATTTACCTTCCTTCAGAACAATTGAAATTTATATGTTAATAAATCAAGAAATCATACAAAGGTCATAACAAATACCGTAATGAGACAAACTTCACAAATAATTTTAACATTCTGTGCAGTTGGTTTATAATTTTTATAATCAGACTGCATTGTTTAACAAATACATTCTAACATTTCTTCTGTAATCTGAGTTTTAAGAAATAGTGCCAAATACCCAGCCCATCTGCACTAATGTACCTTGATTGCTTCAAGCTGTTTGACCTTTTAAAGCCTAAATATAAAATACCAAGAAAGGAAGTTAAATATACTTTTGACATTCCATATAAAGATAATCTCGTACAAGTACAGACACAAGTTTTTTAACTGCGCCACTTGATATTTTGGACATAAGCAGTGCGGATCATTTGGTAAGTAAAATCCAATAAACGTTTATATTACTTTAAAACTTTTGAAATTTTAAACCAATTTGTTAAATATAACAACGTTATCATCCTATGTGTACTTATTTCCTTCATGTATATGGTTTGTTTTCTTTAATTGTAAACATATTGTGACAGATATGCGAGAAAGTCTTATGACATTGTAATTCTATAACGACAGATGTGCGAAAGATTCTTATGATATTGTAATATATTATGACAGATGTGCGAAAGATTCTTATGATACTGTAACACTTTTATGGCAGATGTGCGAAGGATTCTTATGATACTGTATTTCTATAACGACAGATGTGCGTAACGACAGATTGTAACACTATTATGACAGATGTGCAAGAGAGTCTTATGACATTGTAATTCTTTCATAATGGCAGTTGCACTAGACATTCTTCAATAATTAAAAAACAGTATGTTTACAGTCACTCACTTTTCATTTTCAATCTTGCTATAAAAAGGTAATATTTTCCGACGCTTATATATTTCAAAAACAAAATACATTTAACATTTAATTTAGTACCAACAGGCGATGGATCACTTAGTTGTCGTTGCCATTGATTTCGGTACAACCTACTCGGGATGGGCGTTTTCATATAGACATGATTATAACCGAGATCCTCTCAAAATATCAGCAAAGAGCATTCAAGGAAATACTTTATCACTTAAAGGTATCCTACTTTTACTGACAGTACATACATTATTGATGAGAATCAAAAGATGACAACATTGATTGACGTTGTTTTTATAACAACATTTCTTCTCAATATAATATGAAAGTCAAAGTAAATGGGTGAAATCATCAGTCAATCATTGGTGAATATGGTATTACAAACATCTAAAAGGTTTTATTTCTTTCTTTGATTTGTTTTTTTTTTGTTTGTTAATTTATCTCTTTTTTTCATTTGGTTTTTCATTACACCAAGACTGTAAAGGTCATACGGCGACTATTCAACTTTACTGGTGCAGGAGGACCTCATGTAACTCTTCGTGCACTATTTCAGGCACGAACGAGCACCCAAGTAGAACCATCGACGATATATAGACTAGATGGTTAGTTTCCCATGAAAGAATCTAAATTAGTTAGCCGGAACCAAACCCACATCCATGAGTTGCATTTGATTTTAAGTCATCGACCTTAATCACTCGGTCACAAACCCCCTTAAATGTCAATCGTAGAGTTTCATTTTAGTGTGTTTGTTGTTGTTTCTTTAGTGGTTTTTGTTGTTGTTTTTGACATATTTGCCATTATCTGGTTTCTAAGTATGATGCAGATTATGCTTGACAGAAATACTTGTACATTTATATATCATTTGATAAGTGTTTTGAAATAACTAGGTACACAAAATTTCTCCATAAGACCGTATAAAGGTCATGCATTTATCTTTAAGGATAGTGTCCAAATCAAAAACGTTTGCTAAAGGTACCGTAATTGTTAGTCATTAAGTGATTCCGAATAACCATTGAGTTTACTATAATCATATGTCAAATTCGATCTGCAACAAATCTTTCCGATCATAATCAAATGATCAGCATGATAAAATGGTTTTTTAATTATATTTACATGTATTGCCAAGTTCACATGAATGTAAGGTTCAGTCCAAACCAGAGTGTCTAGATAATGTGTCTGTAGAATCAAAATTAATTTTTCAGTTCCAACTTGCATTCTGATCAAATCTGACGGGAAAACCACAGACTCTTTTGGATATGATGCTGAAAATAAATATGCGGAACTATGTGAAGAGAATGAACAGCGTCAATGGTTCTTCTTTAAAAGATTTAAAATGATGCTTTTTAAAGATGAGGTAGGTATAAGTTAACATAGACTTGAACAGTTACCTACCCATAATGTGCTGTGTTTGTGCATAAAATTTGAAAGCAAATGTCAACAACAAAAACGGGACCTTCTTCAAACGTAGCCCCTAAGCTAGTTTGACATACCAATATGGAAAAAGTTTTGGAGAAAGAGTGATCTCTCGGAAGCATTAATCACAACAAAATTTTATGAAAATTGCTTGTTTTGTTTAATTTAGGTTGTACACTCTGTGGCAATATGGATATATCTGGTTTCAAATTTTGTATATGCTGAAATTAACAATTTCTTCCGTGCTCAAATCTTCAAACATTTCTCATAGAACTTTAACTAGACTTTCACATAGGGATTGTCAATAAGTATCCTGTACATAGTGGTGTAATTTGATCATTTGTTTTACAAAACTTTGTCCATTTATTGCTCACATCATGACACTATTTGTGGAATGCCTGTTATGTGACAATTTTCTATATCTTTTATAAAGTTAATAAGAGTGACCATTTTCTACATAAAAATATATTTAAAATCTTGTAAAAAGCAATGCTAATCACATTTACCTCACAGGGCATGACAAGACATGATACAATTGAAGATGAGACTGGTAAGACGCTACCTGCAATACAGGTTTTCTCGTTATCTATTGAGAGCCTGATGAAGGATGTTCTTGATACTCTAAACAATCAAGTTGGCACTGTTATCGGTGTCTCTGATGTACAATGGGTTCTTACTGTCCCAGCAATATGGAACGATGCAGCTAAACAGTTTATGAGAGAGGCAGCACAGAAGGTATTATTATCATTAAAGTTAATACATATATCGTATTGTACATGTTCTATTATGTTGTGATCAAATTGATAAAAACTATTATATAATAGTATAATAGTCCAGCATTTATCTGTACAAGGTGTCTAGCTTAAGTCTATTTTTGAGTTATAAAAGTAAGGTGTTGCACTTTATTTTGAAATCTTTTAATAATTATTACCTTGTTTGAACACCAATGACATATATTGACTTCCACATCTTTCATTTAAGTTATATGCTATAGCACTTTAAAAGATCCTTACGCAATTTTTTACACAATTTACAAATTTTTGCCAAAAGTTTTAGACTTTGGAACTATTCTTCCTGCTTCATATATTTGCTTCAAACGGTTTAATCATATTTCTGCTTTATAAGGCAAGGATTCCGGGAAAGAACCTTACTATATGCCTTGAACCAGAAGCAGCCTCTGTTTATTGTCGTCATCTTCCAGTATCTAAAGAGGTTACATCGCTTGCCAAGTTTTCATCAGGAACAAAGTATCTTGTTCTGGATGCAGGAGGTAATGTTCTTAAGTGAACTACTGTTAGCTGTAACGTTAAACACATTTCAAGATTTAGACAATATGTTTTGTGAATGAAATTATTCAGTTTGGAAAAAAATTGCAATCGGATTTTCTTTCGAATGAAAGAAACACGTTGTTCCTAATCTTGAAAATGCATTTCAATGATCTATTACAGGAGGTACAGTTGACATAACTGTACATGAAGTGACTGACCAGGGAAACTTGAAGGAACTGCATAAAGCAAGCGGAGGTGATTGGGGAGGAACTAAAGTAGACGAAGCATATGAAGAGTTCCTTACAAGTATTATGGGTAAGTTCAAATAGTTGACAGAAAGAAATCATTTCCCCAAAGTTTTTATCTTGTAATTTATCATTTGTATAGAAGTTAGAGGTACATTCATAAAGTTATGATTTATAGTATTTATATAATATAGTAATTTAAAGTAATTGCATTTTATAGTCTAAGTTTCATGCTTACGCACGTTCACCGTTCACCGTACAGCTAGTACCCCTGGTCATCGGGCTACTGGTATCTATCAATCTCCCTGGGGAGTCTTTTAACTCCGCTTAGTGCAGCCGACACTTTTGCGCAACGGAATTATACCTCCGTCGCAGGTACCCATTTACATCTGGGTGAAGTGAAACAATCGCAGGTAAATTTCTTGCTAAAAGAAATTATCAGTGCCCCTGGTGGGGTTCGAACCCGGGACCTCTCGATCCCTAAGCGCGCGTCCTACCACTGGACTACTGCTCCAATATATGCATAAATTGATACTTTTGACACAAAATAAAATCAATTAAATCAAGTTGCTACAGGTACTATTCTATTTCATTTCATACTTTTTGTTTTGTAGGACCTATTTAATATTTCGGACATGACACTTGAATAATGTGTATTATATACATAATGAAATGTCAATAAGGGGACGTTTGCTACTACACTTAAATAAAAAAACATGTTTTTCAGGTCCTAGGATTATTTCAAAATTCAAAGCAGAACATTTGGATGACTACACTGAACTTTGTCGTAACTTTGAAAAAGACAAACGAAAGATTTCTCCGACCAAACTAGATGGAACAGTGACGATGCGCGTATTACCTTCCCTTTCAACACTTTGTAAAGATATGGCCGGACTTGACTTCACAGAATTATTTCTACGGTCAAAATTCCGCAGCAAGATCAAAGTTATGGGCGACAAATTGAGGATTAATGCTGAAGTCTTCGCTGAATTTTTCAAACCAACCGTTGACAAAATAATCAGCCAAGTTGCAGATTTACTGACAAAACCTGCTGTTCAGGGCTGTGCTTCCATCCTCATGGCTGGTGGGTTTTCCGAATCACCGATGTTGCAAGAGAAAGTAAAGTCCTCCTTTAGAAATATGAGTGTAATCGTTCCAGATGATGCAGTATTAGCAGTTTTAAAAGGAGCTGTCATCTTTGGTCATGAGCCGACAACAATAACTGAGAGGATATGCAAGTATACATATGGGTATGGAACAACCCATACGTACAGTGATAGTTGCAGTCATCCTAAAGGAAGAGTTGAACAGGATGGAAATGGTGACTTACGATGTTATGATATCTTTAGCATTTTTGTAAAAGCAGGGCAGTCTGTTAAGGTGGATGAGGAACAACCAGAAGAAATATGCAGGCCTGTTCGCGATGATCAAACTGCTGTTGGTTTCGGTATATATGCATCCTCTTCAACAAATCCGCAGCTTACTACAGAAGATGGATGCAATCATATTGGAACATTGACAGTGCCTATTTCCGACACAAGCTCAGGAAGAAACCATGAATTTGGAATAAGTTTCATTTTTGGAGGGACCGAGATTGTTGTAAAAGTCGTTGACAAGGAGTCCGGCGAAATTATGCTAAAATCTGTCGATTTTCTTGGTTAGAATATAACCAAACTAAATCAGAACACTAAAACAGACTTTTTATTGTTTAATTTGTTTCGGAGTAAGAGTAATCATATATACTGGATACATGTAGCATTATTATTGTTTTGTTTTATAGCTTGAAGCACATTGTGTTAATATCACAATTCTTTCATAATATTGCTTAAGGTGACAACAGACACTTTCCGTGGTACTCACATAAATGTCATTTAAACCAACTTATTTTAGTAATAATTGTTATTTATTTCTTTGTGCATTAAATGTCGTTGATCATCATAAAAAATAAAATATTTTTTTTTAAAAAATGCCTTTGTAAATGATTGATTTTTAATAAAAATCCTAAAATTTTAAATCGTCATATCAAAGTCATTTTTTATTTTTTTGTCATCAAACTTTTGGAAAATAAACATACTTATAATATCTAGGGAACCTTGTCTCAATTTTTTTCTATCTTTTCTCAAAGAAATATTACGTAACGTCAAACATTTTATGCGACTTTTTTCACCATACATATTACGTAATTAAAGATAATTAAGTCGCTGATTGAGCAAACAAAAATCCCTGACACGGTTCCCTCCGTAAATGAATTCCCTTTCATGTGCTTTAAACCGCATGTTAATTGCTTGATTATTAAAAAAGTTATGCCGATTCAAAGTTAGTCCGACCCGCATCAAACGAAGTGTCATAAATCGGCTGTTCTCTCTCGGACCCCTACGTTTCACGCTAAATAATTGCATAATACACAAATATCGCACCAGAGAGGGTCACAAGTTGCGGTAACATACTCTAACAACATTTTATGGCCCAGTGACATCTGACCAATTAAAAGGTTGCTGATTAATATCAGTTTATAACAGAAATTTCTTCAAATCTTAACGTGATTTACCGTCGTCGCACATGTCACGTGACTTTCGGTAAAATTTGAGGCACTCGGTGGGGGGAAATGGAACGTATTTGCGCACCGCTAGCGGGGTATTTCATTGTTTCACTTTTGAAGTTTATTATTATTATCATCAGCATTATTATTATAATATACCAGTGTCACTCTGTCTGTGTATTCGTGTATGAAATTCCGTTAAAATATAAATTAAAATAACAAAAAAACTGAGCTTCTGACGGTCTTTTAAAGTCCATGGTAGATGTACAAATAAGAACGGGATATTATATATTGTTTCATCCAAATTGATATGAATGTTTCACATATTTTAATAGAAATAAAAGGTATCACTCGATCATTATGATCTGACCTTCTTGGCTTCTATTATCATGAATACACGTATCATCTATGCACGACATAGCTAGAGATCCAGTTTCTACTGGGATATACAATAAATCAATAAATTCCATACTTTGTCCCAGGTTTATTAGTACTGTGTTCGATTTACTGGCGAACAATTTATTCAAAGCATTCACTGATAATATATTTTATTATCTTTTTTTATTGATTAATAGAGAAATAATCATCTTAGACAACCTAAAATGGTTTAGAAATTTGTCAGGGACACCTTACCACAAGTCATATAGGCGTTCACATAAAAAATGTTGTCTGTTTTTGTTGTTGTTTTACTTGACATTGTTAGAAAACGAGGTTGAATGTAAAGCAAGCCCTTGAATCCGTACAAAAGTCCATAAACTCAATGTAATATCTATCAGATTGACGGGACAGACAAATTATTTTCACACATTATGGATATTTTAGCAACTATATTTTTAATCAACCCCGTGGTCGGGCGATTTGCCGCTATGCTTAATTATTTGTTTCATACATTATGTTACGTACACTGGCCGACAGTTTCTTATTTTATAAAAAAGGCTATATAAAAGGTAAAAGATATTCATAAAAGATGTACGGTATTTGTAAGATACATGAATTTAAACAAATACAAGTAGTATGGACCGGTAATTCACGCATATATGGAACTACCGATTTCCCTCATTGATGCCTCAACAGGGGGAGGAGCGTTATCGATAATTGACAGGTTACGCGAATAGCAGATAAAAATGGTACAGGTACCGTTTTAAAACGTTAAAAAACACATTTTTTGGACTAACTGCTTCCAAAATTAAATCACGAATGTGTTCAGAAAAGGTTGATAAATCTGCTAAGCAAAAAATCTCATTTTAGGTATTTTAAGTGATAATTGACTCCGTTGTCACCTTAAGATTGCTTTTTGTATATTATATATCTTAATTTTATAAAGCATTGTCGTGGACGATAAACATTTTGATGGCATTTGAATGCAACATCTATTAGTCTTACTAACTATAATAACTCTTATTATCATACTTGTAAGTTAGAAAATGCACTGAATGGTTAAAAAATTAGGTATGTACTAAATGATTACATAAACTTCTACAATTATTTTAACTCTTAAATTGCTATAATTATTTTGTTAAAGCAAAAGATCAGAATTTCTGTCTGAATGATTTTTCCATTAGTATGATTGAATTGTATTCAACATTTCCTTATGTACTAGAGTATATGCTTTCATTTTAAGTATTATATCATGTATTGATCAGGAGTGTAAACTAACTCAAATTATCTATTCATTTATCATGTGTAGTGAATAAAAGCAAAATAACACCGAAAAACGAGCGTTTCTGTTGTACTTGCTTTAAAATAATGTTTAGTTAAATTATCCTGTTGAATTTGTGTAAAAGATTTCCCTGCTTTGTATAAATAACTGTCCATTTGAATACCAAGGGAGTTTCCTTATCAAAATACAAAACTGAGGTTCCAGCAGTATAGAGTCTGTTCAAACTGCACGGATGTGTAGCTTGTTTGGCTAAAGGCTTTTCATTTTCTGTTCCAGCAGGATAAGTGGTTAAAATCATGACCTTTGAAAAAGTAATATTCTCTTTCGACATTTGTCGGGCGAACTCCGAATCACTACCCGCACGTTTATATAGTTGTAATGTACTCGTTTGATACGTAAAACTTAAAGTATCTAGTGATATCAAAACTGGAACGATTCTGTAAATTAAGAGATTAACAATACATTTAGTACCAGCAGTGTTTATTATTCTTAAGACATAAAATTGAAGCTAAATAAACAACATACACACGGGATAATATCGAATTATTAAATGATTGTTGGCGGAGAAATTTGTAAATACTGGTTCATTATCCAGTGAAGCTATTTAGCAGGATCTACTGCCAAGATACGGTCAAAATATTTGGTACAATCGGCGTTAAATCATTTGAGAAAAATCCAAATGGGACCTTCTTATCGACGGCTCTATACTGTTCGAAGATCTTTTTTGTATTAAGCTATTAAAATCCTTTAACTTTTGATTTGATTTCAATTTAATTCCAAACACAACTAAACTATATCTAACGCTTAGGCCCCAAAATTGTTTAACAGTGCTCTTTGCTACTTAATCTTGGCGCACTTTGAAATTTGTATCAATGGTTTTCTTGCTTCTTTTTGTAAAGGAGACGGGGATAATCATCCAAAGTGTACTTTTATGCGCTAAAGTTTGATTCAGTGAAGTCGGACTGAATCACGAACACAGTATCATGTTTTATAGTTTAATGGTTCTTTCTTAATGGAATACCACAAATAATGTATAACATATGCGCAGGTTATCATGACGTTAACAAAAAGATATTAATTATTATAAACAGTTACATATATTGTTAGTGGAAAGCCACAAAGTTATCTCTTGGAAGTCCAAATTCTAACCGTCCAAATTTTCTATCTTTTAATTCACTTAATTTCTAAAAATGGTTTCATTTTAAACTGACCAATAGAATTTTAACATCTTTCTTTCTTAAATATGAAATGGCCAATCTGTTTTCAATAAAAAATAATGTAACATAGCAGCATGGAATTTGTAACAATAATCATCACCTGGACATTTTATCAGTCATAAGGTTTAACAATTTAATAAGTACAGACAGATTTTTTGACATAATCACCTAAATATAATAAAACTTTAAGCACAAATAATTGAACAAAAATTGGAAAATCCACATTTAATCTCCCGGTAAATAATTATTGATTTGACATCTGTCATTTGTAACTTTACCTTATTTGATATTTCACACATTCTTTTGAAAAATATGGTCTTGTTAGACAAAAATAACAATTTCAAAAGTAAACAGCATGCATATTCATTCATTATTTTTGTAAACGAATTTCGCTGTTTTTCTGCTGCACAACACTTCTCCCTCAGTAGTTTGAACACTTTATCTATTGATCACGATGTTTTATCCATAAAACAGCATGCCTGAGCTGACAAAAAATGTCTTGCACATTTTAAGTTTATATTCAAACAGTTGTTGATTGTGCAAAAAAATGGTTCACACAATTTTCTTAAAACTATAAAAACAAGCAAAATCTCTCGAAAATTGGGTGAAAACATTGTTTTTATAGTTCAGTCGGTTGGTTGCAAGCTGAACACAACTCCACGTGCTGTTGATAATCGGAAGACGTTTTGAAATATATTGCATGATTGTACTATTCTTGGAAGTTGATTCTTACCAACATTTTTGGAACGTACCGCCCGCAGGATCATTTCTTCAAAATTGGACATTGAACAAAGCTGGATAGGATAGATGTTACTGAATCACTGTCATAGCAGCCTTTCCTATCACAACTGTAAATGGTATCGTGTCAAAGCTGCTGAAATTTGAATATGATATCATTCTTGATCTCAAAGAAAACCAATGGAAACATCAGGCTTCAACATTATAATACATATTTTAGTGTCTCAAATCTCAAGATTTTCATTGGTCAGTGTACTTTTTGAAGCAATTTTTGACCAATCAAATACCCGAGATCAGAATTTTTGGCATATAGAATATCTTTATTACCTCGGACCATGGATCTTACAAAAGTTTACTATGCGATGTCTGCTGTATTTCTTGGTCTGTAAATAATTGATAAGTATTTTCGACGAATTTCCTGTTACAAAATCAGACCATATTGTTAGATATATATTTGTGAAAAAATACGACATCTAAATTATTCGATTTAGCATTATATGATCAATTATACACTGCACACGCGACAGTAGTAGGGATTGAC